TCCACTCATATTTCGATCACGTCAATCATATTGAAGCTCATATTGCCGTCGTGTTGGGCCAACTTTGTTCTACGCGCGTCTCGCATTTCCGCATTTCCCACTAATATTCCCCCTATATTATCGTAAGCCTAATTTACATCACGACACCCTAGGCCTGTACTGCCGAACACTACATTGATATTACGGGACACTTATAGGATGTACAGTTCATGCTAAGCGCTACCAAACTCTGGACCAAAGTCTGCGCACCTCTAATTTACCAAGACTGACGATGAAATTACCACCTGCCTGACTTTTATTTTCAGACACTCCACTGTTATTCGCTGACCTTTAGCTGCGGTAAATTACTGAATACTCTGTTGGAATTTCCAATTAAATAAGACTGATTATTCTTTATGGATTCAGTTCAGTTACGACTCTAAACTGAAGTGATTCTTAAAAGTAACAATAATACGCTCATGTAACCGGACATTGTAGTAACATAATTTTCATACGGACTGTTTAAAGAATAATTTTCGGAAATTGTCTGTAAAAACTTTAGAAATTTGTAAAATTTGAGAGACAAAGTATTTACCGTAATATGTTCAATTAAAAAATAAAACTTTACCAAGTCCATTCGTGTAAAACGAACGAGAATTTTTATTTTTTCGGGAAATCAAATTATTTCTCGGTATGGTGAATTTTCTGTAAACTCCTGAAAAATTCCATTCTAAGAAATTAAATGATCATGAAAACTGGAAGCCAAATTATTCACTCATACATGAGATGGACGCGAGATGTTCGATCATATACAAAGCTTGTGCTGAGCGTTCCACGATATTTATTTATCCATAATACTAAGCTGTTCCAGGCTTCATATTCTGCTCGGGGAAGCTATTTAGTTAGATAAACTTGCATGAAATTCCATAACGCAAAAACTGCTTTACAATACAGGAAATATCAATAAAAAAATCAAGGTTATCATGAGCGTTGCTTACAGGTATAATATAAAGCAATTTAACTAATAACTACTATGTTTATACGTTTTATTGTAATGACTATAAAATAACAAAATTTGGGCACAAATTAAAAGTGTTTCCTAATTTGAAAATTCTCTTCTCTTCTCGGATTATATTCTTCCTGTAAAAATTATAATCTATCATCAAATGTTCTCGGAAAATCAAATTGAAGTGATCTAATTGAAGGCAAAAAGCCTGACCAATGTCCTGACAGATGAGCAGAGACTATAAAGCGATTCATTTCTTTTGATACTTAGTCTCCCATAAGTGATGGAAAAACTCTGCGGCAATACCGTAAACCTGCCATCTTGTAATCAATACAATCGTACACCGTCACGTAATTTTATACCACGCATAAAAAATGCTACAAAACAGAGCAGTAACGCTAGAGCGATTTTCGGTTAGGGTCTATACAATGACGAATGTTTTACCTGAGAACGTAAATAATGCAGGAAGAGCAAGACTTGCAATCCTGAGAGTTCCTCCCAAAATAACATACGTAACACAGTGAGAGAACAAGAACATTATGAGAGCGACACATCATTCAATGAGTGACTGTTTTCAAAGCTAAATCTAATTATTAACTTTCAATGCTACATGTTGTTAAGCGGTTCACATAGAGATTGAACAAACAGAATGAAAAACCTGCCAAAAACTATCTACAGAGGGAACTTTAGGTTCAATAATTATACACTGCTAGTAAAAATCACCGTTAAACGGTCTCACCGGCGTTCTAGTGGCCGGCTGACACGTGAAAAGAAACACAGTTTGACCATTTTTATTAAAATTTTACTCTATAGACAGGTACAATATCTAAAAAAAAAACGGAGAAACAGTTTATTTTCACGTGGCGGCCGGCCACAACAACGCCGATGAGACCGGTTTTTTCTGTTTTTAGCGCATTTTCTCATTTATGGAAAAAACGCCCTATTGTACTCGTCATGTCCGTCCGTCCATCCGTCCGTCTGTCCGTCCGTCTGTCCGTCCGTCAGTCCGTGACTTCACGTTTTCGTCGACGAGAAAATGCGCTCTCTATCACTCACTGCAGTGAGTACTGAGTTATATTTTTTCTAACAGTGTACACCTATTTTCGTATCCCCAACATAGGAGCTCTGATATTCGTCACACATAATGAATGAGTAATTTAACTAAAATGACCATAAAATATAATTCCAAATATTTCAGCACACACTGAATAGATTCCTTTGCTTGATGCTGTTATAATATTGTTGCTTATTTCCATTGAATGATGAAGTTCGAATAAGAATACCGAGACTTCGTTAATGATTTAAGTCCGGATATTGGATCAGGTTTCATCTTATCTCACGGAATTTATTAACATTCAATGCCGTAATAGAGCAAACAATCATGACCTTACGCTATCTCAATGATCGTTTATATCCCAACAATCGTCACTTAATAAAACTTTTCGCGACAATTAATAAAACTCGTGTTATAATAATTTGAACCATTATAGAAAAGAAACCCTGTCTTTAGTTGCTATACCAAACGTTCATGCACGTTCACTCTCATCATAGAATTTTATCGGCGTTCACTATTCCATCATTTCTGTCATCATTGTTGACGTATTGAGACAATATTGCTCGAATATCCTTCTTAATTCTTGTATAAATTAAGGAGGATTAAATTCAACAATTCATTAACGTTAAATTTGCTGTCTTTCTTTCACCAGTATGACAACGATGTTTTGCAGCTGCCTGCTCAATTATGCAACCATTTGTTATTTGATGATTTCTCCGATGCATTGATCTCGTAATTACGCTTTAGGAGGTACGTAATTTTTGTATTAGTTCTTGTCGATAACGCGTCGCCGGCTGGCACGGAAGACCGCTCCGCTAATTAGGTCGATTACAACTTCGGTGTCGCCATGGAGCACACACTTGCAGGCTAAAAAAGTGACATTTTCCCGATATAATCTAAAAGTTTTCTGGAAAAATACGTTAGAAAAGATTGCAGAGGCTTCCAAAATCTGGAACCTCAGCTGTCAGTGAAACTTTGGTGTACAGTGTTGAGTTTTGATCACTCAAAATAGTAGCAGATTAAATAAATCTTTTATTTTAGAGATATTCATGCTATTTAATATTAACCTGTTGGAGTGCTCGAATGTTCGTTGGAAATTTTTCATTTGGATATACAATATAATCATAGATATAGAGAACAAATCATCTAATATTACGATAAGATGACATATAAACACGTAAACAAGTAACTGCAAGTATCATTTAAGCGTTGGCATCTCTGAATTCTTTCTTTTCCGATATATAGCGCCGTGGATCCCACAAATATTTTTATGTAATCTTGATTTACTTAACGAATAAATATAAGGCGTTAATCCCGATGACAAGGCTGAAGCTTCCCCAGTTCTGATTTTATGTCATTATTACGTCTGATTAATTCAAGTTACAGTAATTTACTAATTCTTTGGCAGTTCAACTCAGAGTGCAGCCTCAAAAAAAGCTTTTGAAGGATTTCCACAATAACATTTTCAAAGCATGCGATGAAAAGTTAACATTAGTCTTAATTGCGTTCCACAAGGAAATCAGTTAAATTTTTCATATTATGCGTAACTATGCATAATCTTTTATTAAGGAACAATTATTTTGTATTGAAATGGCTGTAGCGAACATTAAAAGTGGGAATTCTTTAGTTCCTCTCATCTCGTAAGACTATTATGAATCCCATTACCCAGTGACATTTTGATAAATTACCGCTCGAATTATTTATTAAACAAGATGAATATTTCAGCCACCTTCAGCTGCCGGTATCACGGCAAGGACCATATTCTGAATGAGTTTTCAGATTGAATTTCGCACTTATAATCTCATTTGGTTGTCATTTCCTTGCAAAGTTCAATGCAGCTCTTGACGTGGAGACGCAAGATGGAGCGCGCCGTATAAGTTTGCTAGGCACACGGGAAATCAATTCAGAGCGAGGAGACGCTAGGCTGCCATTACCTCTTGACATATTGTTGAGGCAATAATTCCACTCAATATCTGCGGGACTCTGATTTGCAGTGAAATTTAGTATGTAGAACAATATCGGATCAAATGAAATGGGAAATAAAAACGATTCTATAGAGAGGTACTTTATAGGAAAAAACACATATACTCGAACGCCTAAATTAGTTAAATGATTGACTCAATAAACGCACCAGGTTATAAATGACACGTGTGTGGTGGCTAGTAAAGAAAGTGATGAGAGGTTCAAGATTATTTAGGCATGAATAAAAATTGATTGTGCAACGTGCGAAATTAATTAACCGGGGACCTGCTTGTCTACAAGCAGAATAAGGAGATTGAAATTTCTGGCAAAACCATCAGAGAGAGTCTTAAAATGTCCTAAGATAAACAATATTATCTTAGAGGAATATTGTTATTATCTTACGGGAATACTTCCTAATTGACGATTAAAAAATGTGTCCAATGAGACGGCCATGTTCAATGGATCGAATGGAAAACTATTTGTGTAAGTGCCATATGCCCAATCAATACTAGGGTATCCCAACTGTATATAAATAGCAAAAACTCAATGACAAAAAAAAAAGAAAACCGAGCTATGCAAGCGTCAAAAGATAACCGGATAAAATAAAACCACAATTGTTCTTATGTAATAAACTCAGCAGATAAATTAGGGAACACCGTACTTTGTAATTTTAATAAACTCAATGGATAAAAGGAAAACCCAAAGATGCAAATATCGCAATCGAAAGCAGTCTGAACTTTTTCGAGTCTCAGTGCATCGGCATTTGTTCCTTAGACATGCGAAAATTTAGGCGCCAGGAAAGATATTCAACCTATAATTTCCTTTTTTTAGAAACTTATTTAGTAAATCCTACATACATAAATGCAAGTATTTCTTTTATATCTATAATTTAACAAATTGTTACAAATTCTACAACTTGATACTTTAATTCATATTCAAATAACTTTAATCAACTTCTACATGCATAAAGCTTTAATTCGAAACAGAAAATATACTCACTTGAAGTTGGTGTTTCTTCCAGAGGCCCCGTGACCCCACGCACGCACAGCGGCAGCAACAGCAACTGGAGCACCAGGGCCCTCATGCCGCACGCTCCCCTCATCAGTTGTGCGTGTCAAGAGTTACCCTCATCAGTTGTGCGTGTCTGGAGTTACCCTCATCAGTTGTGCGTGTCAAGAGTTACCTTCATCAGTTGTGCGTGTCAAGAGTTACCCTCATCAGTTGTACGTGTCAAGAGTTACCTTCATCAGTTTTGCGTGTCAAGAGTTACCCTCGCCAGTTGTGCGTGTCAAGAGTTACCCTCATCAGTTGTGCGTGTCAAGAGTTACCCACATCAGTTGTGCGTGTCAAGAGTTACCCTCATCAGCTGTACGTGTCAAGAGTTACCCTCATCAGTTGTGCGTGTCAAGAGTTACCCTCGTCAGTTGTACGTGTCGGAAGTTACCCTCATCAGTTATATGTGTCGGAAGTTACCCTCGTCACTTGTACGTGTCGGAAGTTACCCTCATCAGTTTTAAGGGCCGAAGATTAGCTCTGGTGGCAGGCCGATGTCTTTCACGCCATGCTGCTCAAAAATCCGTGACTTCCAGAGTTTGCACACCACGTTACAATAATGTTCCTATCCGACGAAATGCGTTGCTTGAACATTTCGTACTGGTAGTCACTGAACTAGGGCGTTTCGAATTTTCTTTATTTTATCAATTACTTTTGTCACTGTCTACCACGTCATGTATTTAAAAAAATTGGGGTTCGACTGTTATTTAATTTAGAGTCCTTATCAATAAAATCGCAAAAAAAACGTTATGTTTATTTCTTGCATCCAAAAGCAGGATGAGTCGCTTCCAAATACGTCAGACCACAACGTTTGCTTGAATATTATTTTAAAAACTTGCGCTAAAATTGAATTTTTCAAAATAACCTTTCACACATTGTTTTAATTATATAACCTGCTTTATATATATATTTTCGATACACACCTAAATGTACGTAAATAGTGAAATCCTTTTCACCAACTCATGGTCAAAAATTCAATAATATTTCACCATCACCTCTCTAGAGCTCAAGTCGAGATTAGCTACTGTTGAAGCTTAATTAATTTAGACAATTATTTCCAATTGATATAATGAAATATAAATTTTCATGTGGGCACAAATTTTCGAAATTCGGAGCATTCCAAGGCCAAAACTATTTACACGATTACAAATGGAGCCATTGCACTTGCATGCCGGGCGTGCTGGAGATATTGAGTAACTTGGTACTGGTATGTTGGCTTCGATGCATCGGTACACTTGAGGTGGGCTTAGTAGATATTTATTACTGCGATGACTCGAAGAATGTAACCCTAAATAGTCCGTATTGTCCTAAGGTCTTGCCGACGTTATACACAAAAATGAGCAACGGTCTACGTAATATCCTCAACAACTAATATGCACGATGAGACGTCCCTTAATTTTACATTTTTATTTTCTCGGGTGAAAACTAAAACTAAAACTTTCCTAGTCTATAATTCACAGCACGTGTAAAAAAATATTCAGTCTAAGTATGCTCGAAAAAAGATCACAAAGTACGTATTTCTGGATTGGCTTACATACTATTTACTATGATATTTATTGATATGCTAGAAGGTAATCCCTAGGATATGATAGTGGCTTTATGTAAGGCCCATTCTGCACTGTAAGCGATCTCGATATTCGGCTCACGTGTTCATTCTACAATCTGCAAAACAGTGGACATTATTAGTTCTGGTTTAGATATTCTAACGAAAATTTTCAATAATTTTAACAGTAAAATCTAAAAATAAGAGATCGCGGACTTTTTGGAATAATTTGCATGAGCGATGACACTCAATAACCGATTTAAGACTCTGACAACTTATAACAAACTCTACGGAATTATAACCTATTATTTAATTTACTCTAAAGGATACAACTCTTCAGTAACCATCTATACTGAAACATGAACACATCGCGCAAGCAGTAATGCAGAGAGCTGCCAACAAAGCTTCCTGAATTTCATAATCTCTGACTGATTCTAATCTCTGACAAAACTTACTAAATTTCAATAATCTCTGCGAACTGGTAAGATCTGCACTCGCAAGCTGCATGGCTCAATGAGCGCAGACCACGGCACCTGAATGATATATCACCCACAAGAGACACAACCAGCTGCGTCGGAGCTCTGAAGAATTATTAAACATTTCTTACATACTTGAGAAATTTAACACTTATTTACAAAATTAGATAGATTTTTTTCCATCGCAAATCCTTCTGGGAAGACAATGTAGTTGATTGCAAAAAGTATTATATTATGTAAACATTATCGAAGTTTTAATATAATTTATTCCCACTGGGTTCCCGAACCTAAGACACAAACTTGTTTTATAATCCCATTTTGTGCGATAGTTTAAATTGGTTGGTTTTTAAATTGGTTAGTTTTTAAAATGGTTAGTTTTTAATTTGGTTAGTTTTTAAATTGGTTAGCTTTTAAATTGCTTAGTTTTTAAATTGGTTAGTTGCCTATACCCCGATCACATTATCAGGAGCCAGCGCCTCTGCACAGCAAAGGGCTGACGGCAGCTCCGGTGCAGGGTGCGGCGGCAGGATAGATTATACGCCTGGGTCGCTGTGGGGAGGGCGACACGGCGGCGACGCGTGAGATATGAAGTGCGAGGAATGAGGCTGGTTGCCAGCTCCACGACCTAAGTCTGTGCATTATTGCAGGGATTTTGGGGAGGATGTGAACTACAGTGAGCTTGTTCTTCTGGTATCCTATTGAGTATTGAGTTTTAAAGGTGTTAGAAATATTGAGTAGAGAAAGCGATTTTGCTTCTAACTTCGCTGATGCCAAAGTGTGAATTATAAGGTATTTTTATGAGACGAAAATTTAAAGGAGTCTATGTATATAGTGCTTATAAAAGAGCGATCTTCAAAAATTGACTATGCTCGCTGCTTAGGTATTCTATTCAAACAGTTAATCTCTCTACAATGTTTAATTTTTATATTGATGAAGAATAAGTGGATGAAAACTATGAAATTTGTTGTTGTGAAAATTTTGGAGTTGGGTGCAAGGTTAAATTTGAGAAAAATATTACTGTTTTAATGAATATGGTGTTTACAATAGTTTATTCAATTTTTATCGCGTAACGAATCCAGTTCGCGTGCTAGTGCGCAGTTTCTCTCATGTATTTAGTAATCTCTGTATACAGAACAGAATCTATCTTCACCTGAAGTTTCTCTACCAACGCGCATTCTTAAAATTGAGTATCCTATGTACCATTAGAGCCATTCACCCTTAACAGGAAAAAAACCGGTGATCCCTTAAAGTTCCAAGTTTTAGGTTACTGTCGTTTATTATGTTTACACTGTGCAAAAACTGGTAGCATGCGATGCTGCGTGATTGGTCTACTAAAGAATGAACACGGCACGCGAGCGATAGACTTGTTTAGGCCTAACAATGTTTGCGTTTAACAAATTTTGAAGGTAATTCTCGTGTCAATCACAGAATTTTTCACGGCAGGAACCTGTCAATGGAAGACATGAAACGCAATATTGTGTGCCTCGCTATCAAGGCAATCATTTCAGCTGGTCCAGCCTCGACTTCCGGTCACGATATACGATGGCGTCTTACGTGTGCCTAGCGAGTCTCTCAATTTCACAAATAACTACATTTCACAACACAAGCAACGAGCCAATTTACTCAATATATTTGTGGTTTTAGTCATAAAATCTTATCAGCAATGCGATATTGCAGTATAAATATAAATTTACAGCCTTGCGTAAGTTAAATGCATAATACCTTGCATGCACCTAATAACCGAATTACTTTCCTTGCTGCCATTGTCGTGCAAAAAATGTAAGCAGTTTTTCTATTGTGCGTAAGAAACACGAGATGATGATTATGGAGGGAGATCCTATAGATTACAGCTTAGAGTCTCACGATTATTATTTTAGGCCACGGTTTTCTCCTTACAGAACTTGCCGATCGCCTTACAATTTACGATGCTGATTACGGACTGAGGCGCATCTTTAAAGAATTTTTAGTTAAGCCTAACAAACTTTTATATTTTACTTTTGAAACTTCCAATCGTACTTACTCAGCTCAAAGTTTGAAATTCAGTAATAAAATCATTATAAATAATCTATAATAACCATTCTAAATAAATAAGAAAGAAAATCCTGTGCTAAAGTAATTCTGATGGAATTTACTTAGTCCTGCCTACAAAATGAACAAGATGACAGTTTTTTAGTAGAGCCTGCTACTTGGTAATCAAACGAATAATTCTGAATGGATAACCAACGCCTTCGATTCGTTTTCATGAATTAGGATCATTTTTCATTCGGTATAAAATAATGCTTCTAAAATATTGCAGTTCAAATTCTCGCTGTCGGTGGAGGTTCGCAAGTAGCGCAGGGTAGCGCCTGGTCTCATTAGCATGCATGTCCGCTCGGCCGACCTATAATAGCCGAGAAGCGAGCAAAATTGTTCCGTGAGAAAAGATCGGCGCTTCGTGCTGCTCTGCCGCGACAAAATCGCGGGGCTCCAAGAAAATGGATTCTTTACTCGAGAGGTAACGAGACTCTGTGGACACTTGCAAAACTTCTGTCCTCCGAGTCGTGAAATTTGATGGCTTTGTAAGTTTCAATTATCCACGAGCGTCCAAACGCAGGTCCATCGTAGAGCTTTTCAAGAGCACTCAGGTTCAACTGTCATGGATGTTTTCAAGCGTGAGCTTACTGGAAATATTCTCAATAGACGAAAATTTCCATTTTTATCTGTTGTTCGAGGAAAATTTTCCACGGTGTTCTTTAAAATTTCCAGGACACACCCAAGGCAAGCTTCATGGCGGAATACAGAGTACCTGTTTTTCGTAAGAATAAATCAAGATGATGAAATAATTTACACCATTAACCTTTTGCCAGATTTCATAAACCTAAAATGTCCGGGAAAAACGCGAGCAACAAAGAATTACTGAATGTGCAGTTGCCATACCGATTTGTAGAATAGAATTATTCAACATCACACATGAATCACAATTTTATTCATCGAAGAAATTTGTTCAGAAGTTCACGCCAACCTTCGATGGCC